GGGGTGCGCGGCGGCGGGCCGGGTGCGTGGGGCGCGCTGACGGGGGGGCCCCCCCGCCTGTTGCAGGTGGTGAAGGCCCTGCAGGCGAAGCACCACTGCGGCGAGGGAGAAGCCCGCCTCATCTGCGACAAGGTCCAGGCCAAGCTCCTCAGGGAGTGCCACGACCCCGCCAAGACGTGCATCACCGACCTGCGGATCTCGCACTGGGAGGAGGCCATCCGGGAGACCATGAGCGGCGGAAGGGCGCCCGCCTGCTGCTCCTCACCAACGGCGACAGGCAGACGCAGAGGGAGAAGATCGAGGCCTGCGCCTGTCAGCCCTACTTCGACGCCATCGTCGTGGGGGGAGAGCAGAAGGAGGAGAAGCCGGCGCCATCCATATTCCATTACTGTTGCGATCTCCTGGGGGTGCAGCCCGCAGAGTGCGTGATGGTTGGGGACTCTCTAGACACAGATATTCAAGGAGGCCTGAATGCGGGCTTGAAAGCAACTGTCTGGTTAAACAAAGCGATGACAACCCCGGTAGACACCTCCCCGGTACCTCATTATATTATTTCTTCTGTTCTGGATCTCCCGGCAGTTTTGCAGAAGATGGAGCACAAAATTAATGCTAAGTTAGGAACTGACCGTGTGGCTGGTAGTAACGAAGCACATTGATGGTCCCAGCCTGCCATCAGAGATGTGCTGAGCTGTTAGGTGACTCGCGCTCTTTGAAAAAATTTAACCCTAGGGTTTTGAACTCAGGCACGGTATGATTTCTGAAACAGCAGATGGAGGAGTAAGAGCACAGTTGTCAGTGAAAATGGGATAGAAACAAAGCATTAAATTAACTTAAAAGATGCAGATGCAGTTAATTTAAAACAACTGCCTCTGTCTAGAAATTATTTTGACAGACTGTGGCTAAAGTCTGTCTGTCTGTGACCTAAGTTGCCAGTCTCTTTTTTTTACAGTGGAAAAGAAAATTTGAATGTTTTGATCTTTCACATGCTTTGCTGACTTGCAAGTTTAGTGGAAGCTTCGGTTCAAACCTTGCTTGCAGTGTGTAAAAGAAGGTGAGAAAGAGAACGTGGTACAGTCTGGTAAATCTTCACAGTTGACCTGCAGGTCATCTCAGGAACTGGAGTGAATTTTGCTATTTCTACACCCAGAATTTATTGACAGAATTTATTACATATCAGACCATTAGAAAAAGCTCTACCTTTGATTTTTTTTCAAGTTTTAGAATTTTTTTCAGAGTTTGCAGTGACTTTTATGGAATCTGTACTGCTTGCTAAGAGTACTTAAACGTATGTTAAAAATTTGCATTTGTATGGGGGACCATTTATCAGAGGGACTTGATGGATAAGTTTTTACTTTATCTTGGTGCTTATGCAGATATGCAGTATACTTGTAATTCAGATTATGATTTTTGTTGAAATGCAATTGATAAAACAGGAATATTTTCAATGGTTTTCTTACTGTACTGTCAGACTCTTTAAAAGCTAATATTATTGTTCTGTCTGATTTTTATTAGTGAATTTTGATCAGAAATTTTAGAGAAACTTCTTGGTCTTGCTCCGGTGTGTGACTACTCAGATTCAACTGCAGGATCAGTGCTTTTTTTGACTGTTTTAATGGCACTGCTATCCAATCCCTCCTTACTCCAGTTTCTACATGTATTCCATGTGATTTACTCTGGAGAAAATATAAGCTGGTTGTTTGTAAATGGCTTTCAGGACTCTCTTCCAGGAAATTGGAAAATTATGCCATATGTATTACGGTACTGTGTACAACTTCGTAATGTGTGCTATTTCCAGGAGATGCAGGAGATGACTCTCCAAAACACTAGATTTCTCTTTCCCAGATCACTGTCTTAATAATTTAATTTTTCTGTACTTCATATTCTTACTATATAATGGGAAGTATTCACCTATTAAATGGAAATGTAAACACTTGTTGGAAAACCTGTGTTTTTCGAAACCTCTTTGCTATGTAAACACTGGTCTGAATATCTGAACATATATGAGCAATCAAATTTTGTATTTTAGAATAAATCCATGACAAATCTTTTGAGAACAGGGATCTTGAGGTGCTGGCAGAGGAGTGTCTGGCATGTGGGCGGCGATAAAAGATCAGCAAAAAGTATACAAACCTACCAGGAAATGGGTCTGTAGAAGGAATCCTATGTACAAGAAAGGTTCTTTTGTTGAACTTGACATGAATTTAAGTTAATGTCGTTAAGTTTTGCGTAGGATGACAGATTCAGTGTAGAGGAGGCTATTACTGATCTGGGTTAAACCGTTTGGCAAAGAGGTTGCATCAAAACATGTTGCCCCTACATTGAGGGGGGGAAAAAAAGGAAACAATCTAATTAAAAGTTGGAACCCCTTTCATCCAATTGTCCCTTTAAAAAGGTAAAGCAGACCAGGTTCTTCATGTTCTCTGGCCAAGGCCTCTGGGACATCAGGATCAGTGAAGAGAGCAGAGGCAGGCCCCGCCTGTACCTTTGAGGAAATGGGCACATGCTAAAAATGATCCAGTTACAGTGGTATAGTAAGTTGCCACATATGACGTGAGCTGGCTTGACTGACCTTTGTTACTGAATTAAGAGGCTTAAGTTAAGATTTTATCTGGCATTTGGAAG